CGGCGGTCCACGCCCTAAGCGTGGCTATAGCTTCGGCTTGCAGGCGGGCGATGTCCTGGTCCGCCCCGTAGATCTCGCCCCTGGCGCTGCCGATGTAGTGCTGGTTGGTGAGCGGCGTCCCCCCGGAGAGGTACTCGATCTGGAGGGGACAAGGGGCACGGGATGCTCTGCGTGGGTCGAGTGTGACGCTGGGCACCTGGAAGCCTTTTTTCACGGGACAGGGCTGGTCTCGGCCAGGATGCGTTGCCTTACAGAGCCCTAGGGTTGTCTCTGGTCCTGGGGTGATCTTCTGGGACCTGGACGTGGTCCCAGGGTGGTCTCCTGGGACAGAGGGCGCGGGGCATCCCACAGTGCTCTGGGAGGCCTGTTTTTGTGGGATAGGGTTGTTTTTGGCCAGGACAAGTTGCCTTGCAGGGCCCTGGGGCTGTCTCTGGTCCCAGGATGGTCTCCTGGGATCTGGATGTGATCCTGGGGTGGCCTCCTGGGACCCGGAAGTGGTCCCAGGATGATCTCCTGGGATGATCTCCTGGGATGGAGGGCGTGAGGCATCCCATTGTGCTCTGGGAGGCCTGTTTTCATGGTGTAGGGCTGGTTTCAGCCAGGACGTGTTGACTTGTAGAGCCCTAGGGTTTTCTCTGGTCCCGGGGTGGTCTCCTGGGACCTGGACGTGGTCATGGGGTGGCCTCTTGGGATCTGGTTGTGGTCCCAGGATGGACTCCCAGGACCTGGACGTGGTCCTGGGATGATCTCCTGGGATGGAGGACACGGGGCGTCCTGCCATGCTCTGGGAGGCCTGTTTTTGTGGGATAGGGCTGGTCTCGGCCAGGACACGTTGCCTTGCAGAGCTCTGGGGCTGTCTCTGGACATCATCCTGGAGTGGTCTCCTTGTACCATGTGTGATCAGCTTGGCATGGGCATCAGGCTGCCCCACCGGACCTCATCCACAGGGCCGAGCTGGGTAGATGGGACCCAGCTTGGAGGCAGGAGATAAGGCAGCAGAGCCGCAAACGCCACCTTTGCTCACCCGGTCCTCGATGCGGGGGTAGAGCTTGAAGACGGTCCTCATGATGGCATCCACGAAGGCTTGCTTCACCTCCTCGTAGTCGTCTCCCCGCTTGAGGACTGGCTTGTCCTTCCACTCCTCGAACCACTCGTACTTGGCGAACGTCACGACGGACAGCGTGGATTTGCCTGTGGCGAGAGGAGATGTGCGGTCACCGGTTCCCTCTGCCCACCTTGATGCCCATCGCCAACCCAACCCTCCCGGGCAATCACTCATGCCCAGGTTCATCACTGCTGCTATTTATTGTCCCACCTCCTCGGTCTAATTATTCGATGGAGACCTTTTTCTTGTATTCATCCTCTTATTTGCAAACATCCCAGGTGCGATTTGCCCCCAGCTCCCTTAGGGGAAGCTCCTTCCGTTTGCACTCGGCAAACTATTGTCAACCCAGCCAGCGAGAGCTTCTCGGCTTTACCTGGGTGCCTCATCTCCCAGGTGGGGTCTTTGGTCGACGGGCAGGTAACGAAGAGGAAAGGGATGTTCTCCGCAGCCTTGTCCCTGGAAGACGTCAGATAGCGCTGCATCCTGTGGAGAGATGCCAGGAAAGCTTGTTGGGAAGACTTAACATCGGCTTAATCCCTCGGCATCCGGCTATCGGACGTGGTTTAATGAAGCCCAGCTGAGGCGGTTGAAGGACTTCTTACATTTCATCCAGGTCGTTTCCCGGGTAGATGAAGTAATTAGTGGATTCCAGGCCCAGCTCTTCCTTCGTGCCGTTGAGACCCACAAAGATGGAGAAACCCCCTTCGCCGTGCTTCACCAGGCGAAGCTGCGACTGAATCCCTGCAGCGTCGGGGGGAAAACGAGAGGGAAAACCAACGTTTTCCAGCTGGACCCCCAGCTACGGAGAAGCAGCATCTGCTCTCCTCGAGAAAGTCCCACTTTGACCTCCGTTGCTCCCCTTTTCCGGGCAGCCACAGCTCGTAAAAGCGATTCGGCTCAACACTTTGGATTTATTTCATGTCTTTGATCCGAGTCCGTTCCCCGTGGAGGGGAACGGGGCGAGATTGTTGCATAGGAAGCCCCCCCGCTCCCTTCCCAAAACCGTGGGGTTATTTTGCTAAACGGTGGGGAAATTTTCCTAAACTCGGCTTTGAGGGGAGGCTGGCCCACGTGCCCAAGTCTCCGGGGTTTGTTTGGTTTTTTTTTTTTCTTCCCTTCTTTTTTTTGTTTTAAGGAAGAAAAGACAAGGAGCCAGCCAGGGCTTTGCTAACCGTATTGCTTGGTTAGGCAAGGTGCTTTAGGCTCGGTTGGTTTGTTTGTTTTTTAAAGCAAAATTCATAGCAAACGATGCCGTTTTCCAACGCGAGCTCGGGCTTGCCGCGAGCTTTTGCCGCCGGCG